CCAGTAAGAAGTTAAGATTGGTTCAAAGGTGAATTTAGAGAATGAGTAATCAGGAATTGCTGAAATGAATTTAGAAATAAAGGCAAAAAGCTCTATTGACAGGACCAGGAATCAATTGCTTTTCCCCAGGACACAATTAATTTGCATTTGTATGGATAAAGCATCATTAGCATTGTTACCAGTTTTTAACATTTTATGGTCTGCTGAGGCGGTTCAGACAGCAGAAGGCCAAATTAGCCAGAAGGTAACACTAGATAACACAGGAGGTAATTTTTTTTTTTTTTTTGCCAGTTTCAAAGTCTTTCACAATTCTTCCTGACACATCTCACATGAAATTCTAGGAAAGGGATACTTTTTGGGATAGCCAAGCTGTTTGTGCTTGACCCTTTGGTTCTGGTTACAAGGCTTACAGAGGCCACTCAGACCTTGGGTTTCTCTCAGCAGGAAGGCCTGTGGAAGTGACTGTATGAGCTTCACTGTTGTTCATACTGAACTAATGTCTCAAGCAGTGAATTAAATCAAAGTCTGTCAGTTCACTGGATGCTCATGTAAATGTAGACTCTGAATGAGAACACATGCCCCTCAGTCAATACACCTGGAACAATACTTTTGATTTTGGCATCCCAACCACACCTGACCCAGAAATTGTGCCAGAAATGATTTGCAGTTTCTTGTTGTTCTCCTCCTCCAATACCGGTTTGGATATATAGCTCTTGTTTGTGAATAGGATCTCTACTTGTGAAAACAGGAATATGAATACAAAAAATCCCCATTCTATTAAATCTTATTTTAATGGCATAATTAGTAACGGTGACAATTATTCAGGTTGCTTTGTATTCTTTTGATTTCTAATTAACAAACAGTAATGAAACGACCATTAAAAAGGAGAAGTTGGGCTTAATGAGTGTAAGTTGTAAAAATAGATTGGGCTAATATTAAGTGGAGCTCTTGTCTTTTATAAAGAAGACAAATTGCCCAAGAGAGCATACATTTCTGGTTTGAAGAAACAATTTCATCCCCTCATCTACTAGTAAAGTTCTGTTTTGGACAGTTGCCAAACCATAAGGAACTATGTGAGGCAGAAGTAAAACGACCAGGGGTTCAACTGAGACTTCTGGGAGGTAGTCATAAAAAAAAAAAAAGAAAGAAAGAAAGAAAAAGAAAAAAAAAAACCCAGGCAACTGAACACAAGTCTATGAAAGACTGCCAAGACAGGCAAACAAGTCAGATGAACTAATTCCTCTCTCACCTAACCATTCAGGGGGAATATTTTGTAATAAAAAATCTTGAATTGATTCCTAAAGTGGAAAAATTCAGTTTATCTCTCGAAGTTTTCCCTCAACTCAGAACTGAATCTCCATCTATTTTAATTATTATGGATTTTCATTTTCAAGTCTCTCATCACCATGTTGGCAAAAAGCACGTGTTCTATCACTATCAAGAAAAGAGGTAAAAGTGATATAAGTATGAAACATTGATCACCATCTGGGCAATTCTTACTACACATGACCTTAAGAGCCCTGCAGATAGGGGAACACTGCAGGACAGGTATTGTTGGTACACAGGAGTTTCCTTGGCCAGGGGCTCTGTCCCAAGACCTGAATCACCCCTTGGACCTGGCAGTTGCTATGGAAATACATTTGCTTACATAAAAACATCAAACTCTAAACAGATTAAAGACTTTTGGGGGCACCTGGGTGGCTCAGTCGGTTAAGCGTCTGCCTTCGACTCAGGTCATGATCCCAGAGTCCTGGGATCAAGCCCCACATCGGGCTCCCTGCTCAGCGGGGAGTCTGCTTCTCCCTCTACCTCTCTCTCTCAAATAAATAAAACCTTAAAAAAAAAAAAAGACTTCTGTATTGTAATATGCAAGTTAGCCCTTATCTTTAGGCTGTTAGGCTGTATGAGGCTTTTCTGGCCTTTAAACACATATTGATATTATAGAGTCTTACCCTTTGAAATGAGAAGACCCTTTCATATCAAGTGCTTTTCCTGGAACTGTATAACTGTATAACTTTGTTGGACAGTTGACAAATCTTGTGTTTGTGAGAAGCTTTGCTATTTTTAAGTGCTTTGCTTTTAATAACTTCTGGCAATTTGGTTTTTCTCTTTAACTATGGAGAGGGATTAAAAAATTTGCCCTAGAAGATGTGGGAGAGCCATAGAGGGAAGTCGAGGGTCTTGCCAATAAATAAACGTGATCCCCACGTTGGTCTCATTCTGTATGAGGGCATGGGTAGAGTACTAAAGTAAGAGGTAGGCAACATACATAAAGTACACAATAAGCAAAACGGATTGGCAATTGTACTGATATTCCCTTATTGGGGTGCCCCAAAGTGAAAATATATATTAAACATGACATTTAACTTGGTTAAAAAAAAGAGGGAAATAGGGAATTTTGAAACATGATAGCTATCCATGAAGAACTTTCTTCTTATTCCCCAAGTTGCATCTGGGAGCTACTGACAAGAGAGCTTTGCTGTGATAAAGTGCAAGGCTTAAAATGTTTTCAAGAAAACTTTACATGATTTTTATATCATACTTACAGGAGAGAGGAAAAAAAAAGAAGATACATTCAATCAGAAGAAATAATGTATGTAGCTTGCCAAACAATCCATTAAGGAGTTCATCCAGCATATCTTGAATGATGTTTTTTTTTTTTTCCTGCCTTATGTTAGCACAGACTATGCTTTATTCACCATTACATCCCCAGCACCAAGCACAGTCAGTGCCTGACATAGCAACACTTATTTAAATGAATGAACATAAAGCTCTGATTAAGTTTTGGTCCTGGTATTCCACTGAGTAACTTTGTGAATGAGACAAATAATTAATTTCTCTTGGTCTTAATTTTGTCCTCTGTAAAAGAGAGGGCTTTTAGTAAGATTGATTTCTTAAGGATCCCTCTGGCTTTAAAATTCTGACTCTAAAATCCACAAATGGAAAATGTGTGTTTACCTTGCATATGGTGTTTGGTTTTGCTTTCAGAACTTCTGTGTATAATCTCAACAGGTTATTTTCTTCCAGCACAGTGGAGAGTCAATAAGAACGTATTACATGATGGGAAATGAGGAAAAGCAGCCGTTGAAGTCCACTGAAGGTAACTCACTATGGGATTAGATGTCACCATGAGCGACACAAGTCATCTGAAGCAGCTTTGGTGAAATTTTCTCCCCATGCTTCTAGAAGTTTGATAGAAAAGCTTACAGAAATTGCTCTTCCTTTTTTCCAAATAAAGATAATGTGATAGATTTTCTATAGAATATTAGAACAGTCTTTTGGCAGAAGACTTGAGGGAAACAGAGGTCAGACATTCTGCTCCCTTATGGAACAAATATAATGTGCAGAGAGATTCCCTGTAGAATTCTCTACACAGCTATGTTTAAAATAACATAGTTGTTACTTTAAAAGTGAAGGTTTCCAAATTCAGCGCCCTTGGGGGGACTTCTTTTTGGCATTTTGCTAGTAAGCAGGATATGTGATGCCATTAAGTTAGCCTGTATCAAAAATCATTTCATGAAAAGACCAACAACTATTCTAGAATACATTTTTTTTTTTCAGAGTAGGATAATGTTTCCCTAAGTAATACCTCACAGAAGAATGTTAATTTTCTGGAGCATCGGGTATCATTAAAAAATGGTAGGTAAGTAGATAGATAAGATTAGATTAGATGAATAGGATTTCATGTTTCAGAAATGCTGGATTAAGAAAACATAAGCAGTTTTCTTGATTGTGGGTCTTTTTGGAGTTTCTGATTTGTCATTATGCCATGTGGATCTCTAAGTGATAGGGGTAGAGATGAATATACAGGTTTTTCTAAACACACTTGCTTAAGAAACCTCCTTCCCCCTCTAGAGTATTCTGTGGAATTTTAGCCTCATGGAAAACAATTTGAGGAATAATCTATATCATTTAGATGTTAGAATATTTTTGTTGTCAGAATTTTTAGTTTAGGTAAGGCCAAGGCAATTAAGAAGAGAATTAATAATGATAAATTATGAGTTGTATAGACCCTTGTTATTGCCTAAATTGACAATAAAGGATTTTTTGAGAAATATATTTTTAATTATATAACTGATGACACATGTTACATTATAAATATCTTTCTAAACTTTTCCAGGCATGTAATACACATTGAGGAATATATAAAGAGTGAATATTTTATAATATAAAAGCTAGTGAATTTATAAAAATTGACACAGTGGGCAGAATTGGAAGCGCATGGTTATTATTTTTTTGAAACAATGATGTTTCTAGAATTCTTAAATGATATATCAACCTATGTTAACTGCAACTTCTCATGTTTAATGATGTTTACAATTAAAATAATACAATAGCAATATAAGATTAACGGTCATAATTAACTCAGAATAGATTCTTTGAAGTGGTTCAAAGGGCTTTTCATAATAAATTACTAGCCTTTAATCAGCTAATTTAAAGTTAGTACCTTTTAGAATGTGAGAAGTATGTGTTTGTCTCATAAAAAATTTAACTTAGGTTTGAATGATCTGGATTCACTATACCAAATCCAAGATGTCTGACATTCCAGCGAAAGCTTTATTTAGATGGAGTTGAGAAGTCTTTGAGATAACAGGCTTTGGGCCGTGCTATCTTGAGTGTTATAGTGGAGTCATTTTCCCACAATCTTTAAGTCTCTCTCAAACTATTTTATGAATGAATTAAATTAGTGAAATATAAATAAATGGTCTCTTTTGGATTGCCTACCCAGTTTAGAGAATGTTGACTTTAAAAGGTCACAAAATCGAATTTTGCCCATTGGAGTGGTATTTCCACTTGGGAGGCTCGCCCTGACTGACCTCCGCAATCCCATCCATCCACTCACACGCAGTTGTGATAAGAGGGTGAAGTGTGAGCTAAATAGGGACGAGGCCTGGGCAAGGTCATTTCTGCCAGAACACCAGAGACTCCAAGAGCTCAAGGATGCTGTAGTACAGAGAAAGGGGCTGTTCCTGAGAATTCAAAAAAAAAAAAGAAAAAAGAAAAAAGCAAAAACCTCTATACATAAAGAGTAAAAATGAGGGTCCCTATATTTGAGGATGTAAAAGATGAAATGGAAGAGGGAAAAACAGAGGAAGAAGAAGTTGAAGATGACACGGTAAGTGGGAACACACCAGCTGAAGAAGGGTATTTGTTCCTCTAAGTTGATCTTTAGAAAAAAAGTATTTCCTTTCCTTGTTTTTCTGGACAGGTATTTTTTAAGCCTGTTATTGAAGACCTAAGGATGGAATTGGCCAGAAAATGCACCAAACTCATTAGTGATGTAAGTGGCTTAAGGAATTTTTTTCTTATTTTGCACTCTGTGTGTGGCACTATTATGTCATCAAATCACTGAGTTGGGGAGAAAACCGTGCAATCATCTGTTAAAACACAATTATTTTCCAGATAATGGAACTAAGTCCAGAAATTTGCGTTGATTTCCTCAAGGTCACCTATACAGAGAATTTCTGTAGGAGCAGGTCTCCATGGTCTTAATCCAGAGTGCTGTCCCTTATGAATTTCACTGTCACTCTGGCATGAAATCATAAAGCATTGAAATTTCAGAGCACATTCCATGTGTGAACCACAAAGCCTTTTAACATTTGTATGGTGATGGAATTTGTTTCTGGAGGATCTCTGTCTAAACGAATGGTTTTTTAAAAAATATTTTGGGGATTTTTCGAGGACTCTGATGAATGCAACAGTTTTCAAAACCAGAAAACAAATATATAATTTTGTATATTGTATATATATATGCATATGTATATAAACACGTAAAATGTATTTATAATTTGGGGTTCATGGGCTACTGAACTGATTGGTAAGAATCCTGAACTAGGTGATGACGGTATGAGTGAAAAGGAGCATTTTTCTCATGACTTTTTTCATTAACTGGGATCAGTGTATATCCTGTCTCCGGGGAATCCTAGATTTGTAGAACTATGTAACATATATATACACTAGTAATTATGTACTGGTAAACCAGTAAATATGTAAACTAGAATTCTAGAAGCACAAGGAAAAAGTATTGCTCCCCAGGGAAGAGCATTTAGATGCTCCTCATTAACACGATTCTAAGAGAGTTGCTGGTGCAGAGGAGAGATGACTTGTGAAAAGTGAATAGAGCCTGGGTCTGTAGAGAAGCGAGCACAATACTGGCCGTTTCTGTTGTAGTTAATGAGCAAAGTGATCAGAATATTTTGCAAATGTTTGTTTTCAAAGGAGGTCAGTCCGGGGAAGTGGGGTAGTACTTTGGTATGTTCTCTGAAGTCAAGCTGCCTGCATCAATTTAACAGTAACGTTGGGGCAGGTTATGTAATGGGACTGGGCTCAGTTCCTCAAGGGCAACATCTATTACAGTTTCTTTAAGTAACGGTAACACATCTGAAATATTTGGTGAACTGTCTGGAACACTGTGAGCACTCAAGAGATGTTAGTGGTTATTAACTACTACATCTGTAAATTATTTTTGTATCCATCCAGTCACATTTTATATATGACTCTCTGCCTCCTTGTGGCTTGTCAGAAAGAGCCAGAGGATGGTGGGAATCATACTCTTTCCATATATTTGACGTGCAATGTAATTGAATTTTTAAATGGAGTATTTCTTTGTGCTATTATTGAGAGTTCTAAGCTACTGCATGTGAAAGTTCTTTGTAAACTATAATAGTGATGGAATGATGACAACAACAGTAACATCAGCCTAGTTAAGATTTATCGAGGACTATGTGCCAGGCATTGCAGCTTCTGAGATGGGTTCCACTGTTTTTCTCATTTTAGAGGTGAAGAAACAAAGACTCAGAGAGGTTAAGTATCTTGCCTGGGTCACACAGTTAAGCAGTGGGGAAAAGGATTGAACACAAAGCCCTCTTGGCCTTAGCCATTCTGCTGTGTTTGCTCTTTCTGTATATTTCCCTGCACAGTTTATCTTAGCTTTACTGTTATTGATTACACTAATACTGGTAATAGGAATGCTACTATTTAAAACCTGAAGTTTCATAACTCCAGAAACAGTACCTCTTCTAGCGTTGTTATGTTTTTTATTAAAGGGTAATTGTGGATGAGCTAAAGTATATTATATAAACCATTGGAACAAAAGTGGCAACTTCAGTGAGTAGGTGATTTTGTTGGAGTTGTTTTGGATAAGATCATTTTTCAGTGACTGTAAAACCAACCTTATGGTGAGGGGCATGGCCTTTACCATTTTGCAAAAGCCAAAGCCCTGTTAGTCCTCTCCCATGTAGGAGAAATCAAATGCGTGGGAGTAATTTCTGTTTATTATAGATTTACGCTGCATGGCAGAATCTCTGTACTACTTAAATATTTAGATCACAGATTGTGGCCTAATTTATATTTGTGTACATGTTCACCTTTTCTTTCAAAATAGAATTCCATACTTTTTAAGATACTGGTTTTTAAAAAATTTTTAGAATTTGTATATTTACCATTGAAGAGTCTGAACAAGGACTTCTTTTGTCTCTAAAACAAAACTGAAAAGAGGAGTTTGTACCATCATTCTAAAAACAAATTTTAATTTTCACTTTCTGGAAGGACTTTATGTACTGGACCCAATAGAATTTCTAGGTTTTCGAAGTTTGGTTGAAAAGGTATTATTAAGTACTAACTGCTCTATCCACGGTCAGCGTCATTGGTGTTTTTATATGGGGCCGATGAAATTACGTTGGAAGTTCTCACGTCTTTTCTATTGTCTGCCTCACTAGATGGTTGTCTAAAATGTGTATTTGAGTTGCGGCAGTCACGGAGCGGAAACCGATGTAGAAGTGGACGAATGGTCCCAGGGAATTAGATGGGAGTTCCAGTCGAGGCACTCTCCTGCTTCTGACAGTGCCCCTCAGTTAGTGCCCACATTTCATTTAGTGCAAGGGCCTTTTCCCGGGTCTCAAACTTAAAGACAAACCTTCAGGTCTGTTCATTTGTTTTCCAATCCCTTGTATCCCAGAGGGACATCTGTGTGTTTACTTGAGCCTTTTTGTCTGTTTGAAGGCAGTCTGTTTGTAGCACGCATCCTCAGGTGAATTTGGTGTCTTGTTTGCCTGGTCTGCACGGGTCTTCACCTTGAAGCCGTGAGAAGTGGCCTCATGTTCTGTTCATCAAACCATACAGCTAGTGAGCCACACACCTGGGATTTGAAACAAGGTCTGCCCGACTCCCAGACCTTGGCCATCATCATGTCGTTCCTCTTCTGCTGTGTGCCAGGTGCCCCACATATAGTACTGTGTTTTGTGTCACTAATGTTACATAGGAATGATCTAGAAATAAGTCCAGGGACTTACAGTTCTCCCTAGAAAGAAATGGATGTTTTTCAGGTCAGATGGCTTCACTATGGGGCATCAATGTGAGGCATTTTTCCATTTTTTTGATCTACCTGGTTTCCCTCTGCATTTTTAATTTAATGGTCCCCATAATTCCCTGGGACCATTCGTCCAGAGCCTCACTTCCACAAATTACCTGGTCCTCTGAGGTCGCCTCTTTTATTTTTCTGTTAACCATATAATGCTTTTTATTTCCCCAGATATTCTCTCTCTCTCTGGGCCTTATTGGTCAACTATCTAATGAATTCCTTGAATAAATCAAACCTATTAACTATATTGAGCCATCACAATCATGCATCTAGTAGCCTTTTGTCAGGTGGTCATAGAACATATTAGGTTAAAGGAGGTATTTTTGTGTGTTTCTTATAAATTAGGCATCAAGAGTCTCTGCAGAGCGAGTTACATTTGCATGAAGCTTGTGACCCATTGTTTTGGTTCAACCCCTTTGAGGCTATTCACTCGCATGGCAGCAGAAAGAACATTTTCCAGGCAAATGAACATTGTTGTGGGTAAATCCTTCCAATGCTAAAAGCATCAGATTCCATGACTATCCCTCCAGAGAGAGCTCTGATTGTGTTAAGAGAACCTGGCATAGCAGCCTTAGCTTGGAGCGTCCCCCGCCCCATCAGAGTGAGGGGACTGCTGTTCTCTCTTCCAGGGTTCGATGCATTGAGCCAATATGGCTCCATTTGACAGAAGATTTTCTCGATACTTTTGGTTAAGAGTGCCTGTAAAAGGAGGGATGCCTGGGTGTCTCAGTCGGCTAAGTGTCTGACTTTGGCTCACGTCATGATCTCAGGGTCCTGGGATCCAGCCCTGTGTCAGGCTCCCCACTCCGCGGGTCATCTGCTTGTCTCCCTCCCCTCTGCCCCTACCCCTGCTCACATTCTTTGTCTCTCTCAAATAAATAAATAAAATCTTTAAAAAAAAGAGTAACTGTAAAAGGAAATATCCTCAGACATTTCTACATCTGTCATCGAAGGTCAGCCATTAGCTACGGTCATACCAAGTGAAAGAGACTGGGCTAAGAGGAGAAAGCATCACTGAACTGATTTAACTCTAATTGTAGTTGAGATATGGTAGGATTAATGGGTGTGGTCAGAGCAGAAGGTAAATATTTGGGGTGTCTTACTGAGTATTAAGTCATCAACTTTGCCCACCTTTTTTTTTTTCCTATTAGAAAGTAAGTTGGATAGTATCTTGGTCATGAGTGCAGATGGCCACCAGTGACAGGAAGACCCTAGCATAGAGGCTTAACATATAGGTGGGATTTTTCATTCTCACATAATGAAGCGTGGAGGTAAGGGGTCCAGTCTTGGTATGGTGGATGCTCTCAGGCTCTCAGGTTCCTTTCCTTCTGCTTTGTCATCATTAGTATGGTGACTTGTGATGACTTCATGGCTGCTGCATCCCCGTGACTGGGGAATGGAAAATGTGGAAGAGCAAAGTGTCAAAGGGCTGAGCCAGCAAGTCTTTCCCCTCTGCCCCAGAAACACCAGGAACACTGCTGGGAAGACTTCTACATATGTCCTGTGGCCAGAGCTGGGCACCAGGGGAGGCCAGTCGCTGGCCAAGGGGAAGGAGCAAACCATATCTGACTTAGAGCAGCTCATCCTCTGGGACTGGGGCAAGAGTCTGGCTACTCTCATAAATACATTTGGATTCTGTTATTGGGAAAGAAGGGGGTCACATAGGCAGTCTATCCAATAGATGGGGCCATGGCTCTGTAGGAAGTGGCTGTCTATTTAGTGATTTTTTTCACCTGGGATGTTGTGTCCCTCACCAGTGTATTTCCCGCCCATCTATCTTTTTCTATCATCTTGGTAGAGGAAGGCTAACACTATGTAGCATTCTTAATATAAAAATGTAAGATCATTTGCTTATCATGACTCAAGTTGTAAAATTCATTAGAAATACAATAGGAGTGACAATAAGCAAATAATACGTGTGTTAATGTATGTGTGTGTATACCTATCTTTTAAAGACCAAAGAAAGGACTGGAGACCCCACTTAAGACTGAACTATCTGCCTGCACAGTGAAGGAAGTAAATACTTCACCCTTATCCTGTGCTCTTGTCCTGAACATTCTGCTCAGGTCAGAGCCTATCGGGGGCCCCATGGCTGTTGCACACACCACTGCAGTCACGAATGTGACTGTGAGCGGGGAGAAGATAGTGGCAAAAGATAAAAATAATGAGCCAAACTTAAACCTAATGATAGGTTATTTTCTCTCACACTTAATTATATAACGGGGATACTTTTTTTTTCTCTCCTTATGATCAAAATAGCCTACTATTTATCATACTGCCATTAACGGTTTAATTACTAGTAACTGAGGAGGGTGATTTGCAGAGCCCTAAAATTATGGCTAATCTCTGAGAAGAAAAAAAAGTAATTTAGAGCTCAGACAAGATAAATATGTTCCAATGTTGATTTCATGAATAAAGCAAATGTTTAATGTGGTAGGCGTCTCATACCTAAGAGTAACAGCAGTGAGATACGGTATTTTGCTTAGTTTGTTCCTATCTGGTCATACATCAGGTCGAATTATGCCCCTCATGTCAGGTTTACATGTGGTAAAATCTCTATGTAATGTTAGTGTTGCAACATCGTGTTAGTCATGTCCTTTAAGAACCAGGTATATAGTCACCTAAACTTCACTTTTAGGTTATAATTAGGAAGACCATGTAATTTATCATCTGAACTGGGACATTTTTTTCAGCATAAGTATTTACAGTTTTGGGTAGATAAACATGACTTTATTACAGGGTGATATAACTTTTAGCAAATTACCTTCATCCTCTCAACTGGTCATAAATTTTGCCTCACCAGTTTTCGGATTGAGTGGCAATTAGCATGAGAGTGGGATTACATTTTAGGGCCTTGCCCATATAGTTCCTGACTTCACCTCATGTGTTCATGCAGGGTCTCCCCCAGAGTAACAATTCTGGCCTCTCCTCAAGGGGAAAAGAGTAATTCCTTTTACTACTGAGTTTGAGAGAAGAAATGAGCATGCTCAGCTCAGCCTCTCTGGACTTTGTCTTGTGCATCTGCCTACCCATAGCATTCTGGAATGATCTCCACCTTGTGGCAAGCTTTCAGGGCAGGTTCTACTCTTGCTGGGGGAGGGGAGGCAGATAGGGAGGCCTATGGGTGCCCCTAAATTGGGTAAGTTTGATTTGAGCTGAATTAATTAGTATAAAGGAAGCTCATCGTGTCTACTGTTTGAGCCCCTTCCTCAAATTCACCATGATGCTAACAGTAATGATGCTAACAGTAATCTCCACTTGTTTGATTTCTGCTTCTACTTCTTAATTGGTTCCATCTGTCCTGAGAGACTACTTATCTTAAACCTAGAGGTAAGCAGCTATGTTTTTGTTTGATTGTAGGCTTAACTGTTCAGTCAGTGGCTTGAAAGTAACAATAAACTAGGACACTTGCCGAATGAAATGAGAGTGTTGAATAATTATGCTGAGAAAGCTGGGCAGACAGGACCCATAGTCAATGTGCATCTGCCCCCATGATCCTTGATGATAACAGGACTCTTATCTAAAGAACAATCTTTTCTGTGTCTCATCACCTTTGCGGTTCTGTGCTATATATCCATTTATTTGATTTGGCTGGTTTTGAGCATCATTCCTCATTTGAGTATTTACTTTAGAAAACAGACTTCCTCAAGTAATTCTGTTCAAAAGGGGGGCATTAAAATTGTTTTTCTTCTTTCTCATCTTCTGTAAATTATTCTCTCTTTTAGATTCATTATAAAGAAGAGTATAAAAAGTCTAAGGACAAGTGTACATTTGTGACTGACACTCCCATGCTAAACCATGTAAAAAATATCGGCGCTTTTATTTCTGAGGTAAGGCATCAAAACATGCGAAATAGTTTGCATTTTCATTTTCTAATTATGTAGATAAAAATTTGTGCATTAAAATTAGAGAATGATATTTTTGAGAGCACCACTGAGTGTTGGTAATATCTACATAATTATGTAATCCTATGTACCATATCAATTAACTTTATGGTTGATATATTTTATTATATATGTCTATATTTCAACTCTAACCCTTTCATATTTATGTAGGATCACTCTTGAAAAGAGATATTTTATTTGATAAGTAGAAAGTACTGGAAAAATAGTTTTCGAAATTCCATTATTTTATTTCCTAATAGGTGTATTAGATATAAATTGTTGAATATCATTTTGAAAATAAGTAAAATTTACCAGCTGATCTATAAAACGTGATACCTTTGGTAAGTAATTTTAAATCAATTTAAACTATTTTTGAGTAGGATCAGTTCAACAGAGACACTTATTATGAGACCACAGAGAAACGCACTACATTCATTTTCCAGCTGAAAAATCATATAGTCTCTGTCTGAGAGCATTTCCAACTGCAGATTATGCTGCGTTATAAAGCACCATGTTAACAGCGATTTCTGTGAGGAGGCATTTCTGTAGTCTGTGACTAGATCACTTAGGAGAGATAAATTTGAAAAGAGGATGAGTACAACAGTATTGTAAATGACTGACCTCTAGTGTTTCATAAGTTATGTTGGAAAAAGAGCACCATGATATTCTCAGGATTATTTCCATTGATGTGAAAACATTTTGAGGAAAACTGGCAAATTTTCTCTTATTGAGTACCCACATCCAAAGAGTTGTGAGAACACAAGGATTACACAAGGTCTACGCTCAATAAATCCACGCTCACATCTAGTTCTGAGTGGGGGTAACGTCAGCATGTGGAAAAATGTGGTTTTGTAGGTTTGCGTTAGCTTTTATTTCTCCTGTGCAAAGACTCTCTTGATGTTTCTCATTCCCAATTGATTCTTTTTCCTGAAGAAGTTAACTGCAGAGCACAAAAAGAGAAAAAAAGGGAAGTGGGCAATCTGTTGTGTTACTTTGCACCTAATCTCTCTAAGAGAAATGGTGAAGGAGCATTTCTATTTACTAGTAATGAATTTTGGGGATCACTCTGAGACAATGCAGATTGGAGGTGGGAAGACACAGAAACAACAAAAAGATACCCCCCCCAACGCAGTCGTGGTAGAGGAGGTTAAAAAGATTTGAATAAAGGATAGTCCTTTGCATTCAAGTTCTAGACACTACATTCTACCAACTTGTATTTTCTGGAACAACTCAAATGTCTCATTTTTCTCAGGGTTTCCTTTGCTGATCAAACATCTGAGACTCTCTATACAATCAGATTTGCTTTTGGAAACATGCATAGGTTAAAATAGAAAAGTAGCCATTATTTTCTTGAGCATCTCATTTTAAAGCTTTTTCCATAATAAATTGGATTTATCTCTCTTCAGAATATGTTCTTCAGTCTAGTATCTAAGGTTAAAATGGTCTTAAGGTTTTTAAATTAATTCTGTTTTTGAAGAAAATTTCTTTTTATTCTCTTTCAATATTCACAGTAAAAAAAGTAGTGCTTATTAATTTTTTTCCTTTTTCCCCCCTCTAGGCAAAATACAAAGGCACCATTAAAGCGAACCTCTCCAATTCTCTTTATAAGCAGATGCCAGCCACAATCGATAGTGTTTTTGCAAGAGAAGTTACGCAGCTTCAGAGTGAGGTGTGGTTTTCCTAAATTGTTATGTAACTATATATATCAAAATTTAACCACATACAATCAGCATCTTAAAATATATTAATATTTAAAATACGTATTTAAACATAGATAGCAAAAAGGTTGTTTATCTTGGGTATTACATATTGGATGAAAATTGGAAGCAGCTGACTCATGGGTTGTCAATAGTCCCTGGTGGGTCACAGAAAATGAAAAGTACAGGCAAATTTGTTAGTCAAGTGATGCTGTTTTCCTAAGCCCATTCACAGTTATTAATAGAATAAATTTTAATCTTGTTAGGACAGCTTACTTAGATTAAAATCTGACAGCAGGGGCGCCTGGGTGGCTCTGTCGTTAAGCGTCTGCCTTCGGCTCAGGTCATGATCCCAGGAGCCACGCATTGGGCTCCCTGTTCCATGCGAAGCCTGCTTCTCCCTCTCCCACTCCCCCTGCTTGTGTTCCTTCTCTCGCTGTGTCTCTCTCTGTCAAATAAATAAAATCTTAAAAAAATAAAATCTGACAGCAAATATGAAACCTGTCTGATTTAGCATGTGATCTCTAAGTGGAGAACATTCCAGTGGTTTATTCAAAGTCCCATAACGAGTTAATGGTTAAATTCAGGATCCACAAGTCTGTGCTTCCTCAGTTAGGTGAGAGGTTCCTGAATTTCCTTTTCTCTGGATTATGGATTTCATGTGCAGTATCTCAGGTGGAAGTGGCCATTTTAGTGATTGCAAGTTGCAGACGAACTCAAGAATTGTCATCCTGTAAGCTCATTTTGAGTCCAGAAGAGTAATTTTCCCCTTTGGTACATTCCACATTAGGAATACATATACATTTAATTTTTTTTTTTTTTTTTTTTTTTTTTTTAAAGATTTTATTTATTTATTTGAGAGAGAGAATGAGAGAGAGAGAGAGAGCATGAGAGGGGGGAGGGTCAGAGGGAGAAGCAGACTCCCCGCCGAGCAGGGAGCCCGATGTGGGACTCGATCCTGGGACTCCAGGATCATGACCTGAGCCGAAGGCAGTCGCTTAACCAACTGAGCCACCCAGGCGCCCTAATTTGTTGTATTTCTTAAAACAGAATTTCAAAATAGAATATTTCACCTCTTTCTCAGTCATCTTATTGATTGTTTTCTTCATAGCACAGTTTTTTTTTTTTAAACTTTATGAAATGGCTTCCTAAGTGATATGACAGCCGGGACCTCCTGTGTCTTGTTCTCTGCTCTACCCCTGAGCTTAGAACAGTCCTTGGCACACTGGGGGATAGTCAGTAAATACTGGTAAAATGGATTTTGTTGAATTTGTTGATTCCTTTTAAAAGGAAATGTTTCCTTTTATGTAGTTTAATATTCTTCATGCTACATTTTAGGTTAAAAATAATAGTGGACACATACAAATGCTTACTATGTGTCAGGTGGTGATCTATACATTTCACATATATTTATATCATTTAATCCGCATAAGTACTCCGTGAGATAGCCCCATTTTGGAGATGTGGACACTGAAGCACAGAGGAGTTAAGTAACTTGCCTGAGATCACACAGCCAATAAATGGCAGAGCCAACACATGAACATGGATAGTCTGGCTTCAGAGTCTGGGTTCTTAACCACACACTGCATCACCTCTTTCTTACCATTTCCACCACTCTTTTGCTTATTAAACAACTTGACTTCTTCCTTCAAAATCTTTTTAGTTTTAGGTAGAGGATGCCTAGGTAATTTTAAAATAGTCCTAAAATACTCTCGAAAAAGACTGAGCATTGTTATCCTTTGCAGAACATCTTTAAGTACTTTATTATTACAAATTTAAATGTCCTCTGTGTACTCAGCTTGGCAGTAAGCTAATCTCAGCTGTCTAACATGAAGCTAAAAATATATGATATCAGAGTTTTGCAGGGCTGACCATGACTAATATGTCCCTTTTTTCCCTCACAACATCTAGTCACCTAGCCACTTGCTGATAATAAACGGACTACTTTATAACGCAAATAAGTACAACCCAACACTTGATATGTGACAAACAACAATTATGCAAGAAAGAATAGTCTCTTCTTATTTTTATACTTGGGAAGGTAACCTTGTCAGATATTTACATCCTCATTGTGTGAAAGTGGCCAACTTTTCTCATTTTTTATGGCAGAAGCGTACATGTGCAATATAGGACTTTTTAAAAAAATTTAATTTAATTTTATTATGTTATGTTAGTCACCATACAATGCAATGTAGGACTTAACGTGGAAGATAATCCATATTGTATATTGTGGAATCTATCTTTTTTTCCCCCCAGAATAAGTTGTCTCTTGCATTGTTAGCATGTGTTATGCTATAGTAGAGTATGCCCCTGGGAAAGACGGGTGTGTGCTCCCAACACTGCCCTCTGTTGTAATTAGTCACTGAACTTGTTAGTAAGGAAATACCTGGATTCTGAATAAAGTATCTATTTCAATGGAATAATGTAACGTAATAACATTTCAATGTAATGTAATAATACTTCTTGAGGTTTGTATAAATCAATTTTATTGTTGCTAAAATTGCAGTTCTCAGAGCTTACCTGGTAATAAGACTATCAAGAAAGTAAAACTATCTGACAGTGTCTGATAAAATTAAACAACTAACATTTTACTGTGTCCAAATTGTATCAGATTTGTGGTAACCTAAATTAGAGGTAGTAGACACATTCTGGAATTTCAAGGTGTTCTGGATTCTAATGAAAAGTCTCCTAAACTGAGGACACTGGATCAAAATGTTATGTTAAAATCAATTTGCAAACATTCTCAGATGCTTACATCCAAACTAGAATGATAAGGTGAAGAGAGCTAAATTAATGCTCCTTACAGAAAATGACTGAGGGGAAGTCATTCTAAAAAAAGAGCGAGATGTGGAGATTTTAGGATGCCGTTTTATGAGATATCCCCCATTAAAAATTTTATAAACAAAGACCACAAAGAGAATTTCTGGAAACGAATGGACCATGCCATGAAATGGTGAGATCCTTCTCACCAGGGCTGTTTCAGGCAGAGGCTAAATAATCTCTTACCAGAGAACTGATACAGGCTACTCAGGCATCTGGACTCAGATGTTTGACGGCCTGTGTTTTTATCCATAGTGGCTCCGGGGTCCTGCCTAGCAGTGTATTTACCTATAGTAGTTTAAAATATCCTGAAGTTAGAAATGTATAGAGATCTTATGTATGATATATATATATGATATAAAAATATACTATGCTATACTATGCTATCCAATATGCAAGATAAATGTATGTACTACTTTTATAAACATATTTATATATAAGTATATAAGACTATTGCAAGTGTCCTCCACTAGTTAGGTATCCAGTAGCAAGGCGACCTTAATTCTCAAGGTATGAAGAAAACAGTGTTAATCTAGGGAAATGCTAAACAATAATGACAAATCCTAAGAAATCAAATTTATCAGAAAATTTATTAGCTTGACATGATTTTCCATTAGCTATTTTAAGGATGAAAATTAATACGATAAATTCAAGTTCAGCTGCCTCCAATTTGATGTAATCTTAATTCTAAAGTGGTGCTTCGTTGTAGCTATAAATGAAATGACTTTTAATGCTGCAAGTAGAAAATTACAGAGCCTTTTAAAGAAAGAGTGCTTTTTAAAATTGTGCTTGATGACTCACCATTTCTGTGATAACCCACTAAATGATCAGCTGTATTGATCATGTTTATAAAGTCACAAGTCATACAAACTAAACCAGGCACCCAGCAAAAAGGAGCTAGGTACATGCTATCTCCTTTTATTTAAGAAGAAACAAATCTGATAAAGGTTTCTTCTTGGCATAATGGACCTGGTCACCCATTACTCCTCCTTTCCCCCAAAGTTATAATATAGAATGTAATGGAACTGACATAATGGTTTTTGCCAACTTAAATGGAGGTCCTTAACGGGTTTCCTATTTAACATAACTAATTGGTAAAAATGTAAAGATATGTTCATGAGAATTAGATATCCTGATGGATTAAATCAATGGACAGACTCTAAAAAAATGAGTGATCCCTGGAATAACATGGGGGTGCTGCGTGTGAGTCCTGATAATCAACTAGATATGCCGGATTGGATGTGAAGACAGAGTGAGGCAGAACTGAACAAGGCTTAGGACACTAGGTGACAGGAATCTCAACGTAGTTATCAGAAGGAAAACACTGTGATCTATGCATACATGAATAATAGCGAGCACACAAGAAATCATAACCCAGACTAAATTGGACAGTTCTAATTAAGAGAGGTGAGACCATATCTGGAACATTCTGGGCATCTTAAGAAAGGGTGGATTAATTGGAAATTGTGCAGAGGAGGGCATTTAGGGGTACAGGGGCTCACGACCTTACTCCGTGCAGATGATCTGGAGAAATGGGAGTCATTGGCAGCTGTTTACCCACACCTGAAGTTCCATCCGGTGAACTAGCCGCCAGGGGAAGACATATTGGGGCTTCATTAAGGGAGGGGCTTTGTGTCAAAGCTTCCACAATTTAGAGACTGTGACACCCCAGCGTGTGTTCCATTTCAGTAAACATTTTGAAGAAGAACTTGGTGGGGGAACCAGAGAGGAGATTTAAATATTGATAGTTGTAAGAAATGGCTTTCTTTCTTTATGGTAAGAGGCGATGATTTTGTTTTTAAAAATTAGTTTTGTAAATATCACCTTAATCCTCTAGACAAGTATATTATCTAAGTTAAGTGAATGGTTAATATGGTTTATTAAAACCCATGAGGGGTTTAAGTTCATGAGAATATTTAATAAACTCATTTATTCACTCTTTTGCTAAACATTTATTGCATTTCTACTCTCTGTCATTCAGTTTGAGAGGCACAGGATATTAAAAGATGTGTAAGAAGATATAGGCATAGCTCTCAAGGAGCTAGTATCGGTAAAAAGTTTTTCCTTAAGTTGAGCTGTTATTCCTTTCTGTTAAAAATTAGATCTTATTTTGTTCTTGTGACTACTCTTCTAGTTTTTCTCTTTAAATTGCCTCTATTCTCCTGTGTTGAGTTATTCTAACTCTGTTTAATATCTTTTTATTATAAAACTTAATATCTATTTAAAATTAATTTTAAAAGAATTTATTCATTCATTCCTGTTTTATTTTTATCCATTCATTCATTGAGCAAATATTTATTGATCCTTACTTTGTGCCAGGCACTAGTTTGGGTTCTGAGCATTCACCAAGCTAGATAAGTTATGTTCTCATGACGGAAGACAGAAAATAAGTAACTCTATAAAAATAAAAGTAATTGAAAATTGCAAAGGAAATACATAGGATAATGGAATAGACTGCGAATAAAGGGATAATTTCTTTGCCGTCTTCTGGAATTTTTTCCCCCTAACTCTATCATTGAATTTGGTTACTTCTACCTTTGAAGTAATCATTCTCATGCCTTCTATCCATCCCAGGAGGGAACAAATTGAAATGGTAGCAATGGATGACATTGGCATGATGCTCACTTCCCTCACAGAGGACAGACCTTGACATATCTCAGAAATCTGCATGCATGTTTTATTTTCTCCCAAAGGTTGAGACATTTAATGAGGTTTATGTTATATTATAGCTGTGCCTACAGAAAAGTCATAACAATTAATTAAAAATGAAAAATTTGCCTTTAAATATCTGGTCATTTTCCCCACTTTGTCAGTTGCTTTCCCAAGATTTAAACCTTGGACATTTATGACCCTAAGAGCTCATAGATTTGGAAGGTTTCCCAAAACCGTAGCTGAGATTTAAGCTAGCTGAATATGAGCAGGGATTTCAGCGTGCATATGGTCAAGGACTTTTGAAACAAGCAGGAAAGAGTCAGATTTAGGATTCTAACCTGAAGCACTAACCTTAAAGCACTAAGTATATTCTCTTGTTGTAGAGGCTTAGGCAAATATGACCATCAGTGGTGGGATTCAAATACACAAACTCCTAGCAAAACACTGAAGTTTAACAGGTAAGAATGTAATATACCCCTGAAAAAACTAACAATGATTTGTGTTTTTAAAGGTTGCCTATAAGCAGAAACACGATGCTGCCAAAGGATTCTCAGATTATGCCCATATGAAGGAGCCACCTGACATCAAACATGCCATGGAAGTCAATAAACACCAGAGTAATGTAAGGATGCCATCCCTCATGTTTTTCTGGTAAATCATGGTTACCCACATCAGGGCTAATGGATATGTTGTTGCAATTTACATATTACCACTCTCCTCTTCAAAAAGAACTTTAAAATTTCTTGTTTTTAAATCTCTCAGTGTTCAGTCATAAATTCATCTGAATGACTCTATCAAAAGTCATTAAAACCTTGTAGAATGTCTTTAAAATGTCAGGTCCTTGCAGATATTGGAAGTTCTGCTTTGGACCTGTTGGGTTATTGGCATTTCCTAGAGTGCCCTTGACTTGATGGTAAAGCTCTTGTAGTTTCCAGTCTCGAATTGTAGAAGAACTAGGAGAAAGGACACCAGAAACCACTGGCCTGGGAATAGTCACTCACAAAGGCTAGTGAGATAGTACCCCACTACCCTTTTGGAACACATACGGAGAGCAAATGGTCAAACTTAAGACCCATGGAGAACATGAAAGCAGTTGATGCATAATGGCTGACTTAGCAGAAACCAAGGGAGAGGAAACAGACCCATAGAAGATAAACTCTTTTAAAAGTTGTAAGTTAGAAGATTATAAAGTTGTAAGTTAGCAGGTGCATCAAAACTTCCATGTGTTTGCTCAATGACCACCACTTCTAGGCCACTGGTGGCCTAGAAGAATAATTTCTTCCTGAAATTTCGGTGGAAGCTCATTTGTCTCCCCATTAGGAGTTCTTTGTTCTCTAGGAGGCATGTAGGGACTGTTCGTTAGGTTCTTTATGGGCTACAATCAGTTCAGATAAAGGTGTCTGCCTTAGTTGGGTCAAGAAACTCCCTTTCTTTGGAAACTACATGCAACAACTTTGTCATCTCCAATGGGCTCTGTCCCACCACCTAGCTCCCTTACTGAATGGGGCTTGGCTGACGTTGTGTCCCCAGAGCCTCAGCTGTGCAGTGTCTCTTTCCAGGATGGCAACAGTTGTCTGGTATTAAATTGCAATAGATCAATGCTTAAGTACAAATGGAGTGAGGTTTTACATTTTCACTCCAATGTGTAAAAAGATGCCAGTACCAAGACAATTTCCCAAGGTGGTTTAACTTGGATGAGAGATGAGAAAGCTACACGTCTGTAATTACCAGCAAGGCCATTTGAAGGGGATGCTTCGTAAGAACAGTTTGCTTACAGAATGACGGTCATAACCATAATTACTACCACTTAGCATGGCTGTGCAGCAGGAACTCTGCCAAGACTCCCATTGTTTCCAACTCTCACAAAATCCCTGTACTGAGTCCCCGTTCTGTAGATGAAGAAAATGAGACGAAAGAGTCAAACTCCCAAGTCCACCTTTTCTGGATGCCTCTTAAAAGGCATTGGTTATTGGTTGAGATTTTAAATGAAATTTTAAAAATGTGGGACAAAATAGGTTATCATCAGGATTTAGATCAACAGATTCAAGGCGCTGCAGGACCGAAGGCATCAGCGGTGGCCCGGGAGGGGCTGGAGCACCTTACATGGACCCTCGGGAGGCTGCTTCCAACTCTATAATTCAATGAAATTCAAATACGGAAGTTCCTTATCATATAACAGGGGTTATTATTTTAACTCTGCCTTTTCTTTTAAAAGGTCTTTGATTGAGGGATTGAGGGAATAGAGTATAAAGGCCTTTTCTCTTCCATTCAATACTGTGTACTTATGGGAGAAGGATGTATTTACTTACACTCCTCTGCCTACTCGGCTCGACCTTCACATGCAAAGTTTGTACATATAATAGGATTTAGAAAGTGTTTAAGACTATTTACTCAGATTTAAAGTGAGAATGATATTTGTATTTTACCTGTGAAGTAGTTGATATTCCCCTAGAGTCAGGGCACTTAGAAGAATACATTTGTTGTCCCTACAATATGAAATTTAAACCTAGGTCTCGAAAGCCACAGGAAAGCAAGTACCTCTCCTGGTTGTTAGGTGAGGCTAGTGCATCTCCACAAAAGACAAAACTCTGTCTCCCACAAAACTTCAGTCCGTCGAAACCCATTTGCAGAGAATCTACTAATAGAATTACACTTCCGTAATGTGAGATGTCCCTTTACATGATGCCTCTAAATGACTTGATTTATTTTGAAAGAAAATGTGTTGTCACACGTACATCTGATTTGCCTAGAAATAAGGCATCTTTGCTGACCTTTTTATTTTATGTTTCTACCAAGAGCAAGTCAGCTTTCTTTTTTTTTTCATTTCCTAAAGCAAATTGTAATTTATTGTAGTTTATCAAGGATCAGACTTTAACCATCACCATTAGACAACAATTAAGAAATATAAAATCAGGGCGCCTGGGTGGCCCAGATGGTTAAGCGTCTGCCTTCAGCTCAGGTCATGATCCCAGGGTCCTGGGATCGAATTCTGCATCGGGCTCCCTGCTCCTTGGGAGCCTGCTTCTCCCTCTGCCTCTCTCTCTCTGTCTCTGTCTCTCATGAATAAATAAATAAAATCTTTAAAAAAATATATATAAAATCAGTGTTTTGAATTGTGGAGCAACTATTTACAGATAATAATGATAATAAAAATAACAGTCACACATACTTTCTGTTAGAAGAAAAAAGTAGGAAAATAAAGACCAAATTATATCTAAAGCAAAAGTACAGATTTTATATGAGCATCTGAAATAAAGAACTTCCTAGATGCTAACCCAAGCAAGTCAGCTTTCTAGTATCAGTTAGAGAACCAAGAAACTGGGCCAACTGCAGTTTAAACTTTTTAAGTTCTGCCTCCTTTCAGCTCAAACTTTTATTAGAACATTTATCAATGGGCCAAAGGGCATGTTTCTCCTTTCAGAACTGTTCTCTCCCTCATGCCTTTAGAAGTCTGAATAGGCAGAAGAGGAAGGGGAGAGGACTTCTGTGAGGGCCGACTGAATTCTCCCCTCTGTGTAACTCAGAGTTTCAACAGGAAGACTAGTTGTTCTAGGGGCACTAGTCTCTTCTGCCCACCCACCCCAATTCAGTGAGCATGGAACGGGGCGGGGGAGATCATTTATCCGAATATCCTCCACTGTAGCACATAGTAGAAAAGGAATTTAGAGTCAGACCACATGTTGCCTGTATGATCTTGGACAAGTTACTTAATATCTCCAAATCTCAGTGTTCCTATCTGTAAAGTGGGGCAGTTGTATCCAACTCACTGGGCTCTTGCAAGTATTAAATGAGATGGTGTATATATATATAAAGGGCTTTGCAGAGGAGCAGCTCCGTAAAATATGAGTCCTCTTTGGTCCCCTTCCAATTTTAAAGGGTGATTTGAGAGGTTAGGATGATTTCATAGTCAATTTGAAATAATTAACAGAGCTTAGATTGAGAAAAAGGCCAACTGTATATGAAATTTATATTAAGAAGCATTTAGGTCAGAAGGGCATGTTCAAAATGATCCTGAACCCATATAACTACCTATCTTGTTGATACTATAATCAAGAAATGATTAAAAACAGCCAATCTAAATCCTTTGTATCTTAAGGGATGTACCCCTGCCAAATTCTTCTAATGTAATTAGAGAAACTGGAGATAATCTATCCGGTTACTTTCCCCTAAAGATGGGCTCAAAATGAAAACCCCAGTAACATTATTAGTTCTCATCAATCTTATCAGAGATGCAAAACCCAATAGTTCTGAAGCAAGTCAAACAAATTTTGAACTGCCATCTTAAGTTTTGTAAGTAATGTGGTCTGTATAGACTTATGATGAAATTGGAGTGGTAAACTCTTCTAAAACACCATATAATCAATTCAATGTGTATTGGAAGGAAGTATTCAGCAGGGGAAACAAGAGACTTTATGTTTAAGAATGATATATATATTTTCTTAATGGTAAGAAAAACTTACCAGGAGATAAAATTTCTATTCCATCAGAAAGTGAAAAAGCTTAGAGATAAATCAGTAAAATGATACTAGAGAGGCTGTCATGGTTCTGTGTGGTTCCCCAATGTGACTTATAATAACAGCACTTTGGGAGTTAGTATTAAAATAGATACATTAGTGTTTTGCTCATCTCTGAGACAAGAATAGTTAGTAATACCCATTCTGCCTTCTTTACAAGATTGTGGTGGTGGTAAAATTAACTCATGAATAAGAAAACTTCTATCAACTCTAAAATGCTTTTTATAAACAATGACAACAATAATAATGAGAAAGATGCAGCTCAGTATTTTACTCCCATCTTTTAGGAGATTGAAAACTTTTCTGCCTTCTGATGAATGTCAGATCCTAGGTTTACCTGTATATAAAAGGTTTACATTCTCTCATAAAAATAATACTTATAATCTAATCCTTTACTCATTTTTTACATACAGGATGCCCAGACAGAAATAAGCCTGGGATAGAATTTCCAGTCCTTGTGCCTATGTGAGATACCTGGGGGCTTCTCTAATGTGAGAGTTTAGGATAAAAGTATTTCTTGGGAATGACTGCACGAGTGCTTCAAGATTATAACTAAATACAGGCCCCACTACGCCCTTCTGTTCTGCCAAACTTAAGATGTAAATCCGTTCTAGTCTCTTCTCACCAAGAATCACGTTAACCTTCATCAGAGTGGCAAGGGGAATGATGGTTTTGGGCCAGTTGGGTTTGATTTCTTTAAGTCTGCTCACCAGCCTTAATTCCCCCACGGGGGTCTGTCTGTGGCTGCCATCCTGGCTGTCCCCTCATCTCTCAATCTTGGCATCTCCAAGGACATAAATCTGAGTCTCTCATTGACCAAGCCCAACTCAGAACAATACAAGGAAGGGGATTGTGGATAACTAGTTCCAGTCCCCGGAGGGAATGTTGAGGAAGCCCGGTTGGACACAGACAATGCAGCACAACAAGGGTGGGATGATGATTTAATGCATTCATGCATGTAAAGTGCTCAGAACAATGCCTGGCATGTTGGACCCTCTGCAAAGATGTAAAAAAAAAAATGTAAAAGATGTTATACACAACTAGTGAATCATTGAACACTATATCAAAAACTAATCATGTACTATATGTTGGCTAACTGAACATAATAAAAAAAGATCAAGATTATAGGGAACAAGCTGAGATTAAAAGACAACAAAATGATGAAAGTACAAACTGAGGGACAAAGTGAACATGGTGAGACAAGGAAGAAATTCCAAAACAAATTTGATAGAATTAATATCTTTATTGGAGGCAATGAAGAACAGATTTGACACTGCAGAAAAACCTGAAACGGAGACTGTGTTAATTGGGCATTTCTAGGTTTAGCAATAGAACTCCATCTCAAGTTAGCTAAGTAAAACATGAAAATTTATTGGCTCGCATAACTGGAAATTCAAGCTACCTTTAGGTGTACCTGGATCCAGTGGCTCACGGTGTCACTGGGACTCTTCATCTCTCCCCATGTCATGGCTTTGCTTTCAGACTGTCTAGGTGGTCTCAAGATGACAGCTGGTGTTTCCAGAATTAAATCATCCCTAGAGCCGCTGATTCCAGAGGGAAGGACAGAAGCTCTTTCTCCCTCCAGCCTCAGATCCATCAGTGACTCTGGCCCTCCCTGGGTTATGTGTCTGCCCTCTAATTGATTGTGGCTTCTAAAGGGATGAGATGTCTGATTGGACAACTTGTCATGTCACCACCCCTGTCGCCAAGAAAGTAGGCTGCCTTGGACAGCTCCACCAAATCACACAGAGTGAGAGGGAGGGGCAGTTTCCAAATAAAAAACCCCAGGCCGATACAGAAATTACACATGTCCATTATAGTGGCATAACTTAGGAAAATGACCCAGATATGTGGAAAAGGGCCAGGAAAGAAATTAAGTGGAAAAAAAAAAGGAGGAAGAGATCAAGCATGTATGGTAATAATTTCAGGTGTTCCTGAGGAAGAAACCACAGTCAGTCTTTACAGATAAGATTATATATTGTTATATGTTATTAAAAAGAAAAGGCAGTTTATCTTGGATACAAGATCAAGGTATAAGGAAATGATCAGCATATGATAATTACTTTTTTGCCTCATGTGGGACCTCGAGAAGGAAATGATGACACTTCATTGAAAGGCATAATACAAGGTTTAAAGAAGTAGGGAAATACACCTTCTTCTCTTGGGAACAGACTGAAATAGTTGTGAGAGATTTTTCCCTAAGTCGTTTTGTAGGTTGAGTTGCATGCAATGCCCACTGAAGTTCCATTTGTTTCCTTTGTGGAACTGACTAGAATTATTCTAATGTTCATTAATGAGAATAAATAGGTAAAAATTAAGAAAAATTTTGAGAAAGAAGAGCAGTAGACAGAACTTGGTGTAAGGGATGTAAATCCTTAGAGTCATACATTCAAGAAATGTGTGAGTGAGGCGGTGAATATTAAGTCCTTAATATGCTACCTGGTCCATAATAAGTGGTCGAAAGTGGAGATTATTATTGGTGTTATTATTTCTCCTCTTCCCCCTTCTCCCTCTTTTCTCTCTTCTCCTTTGTCCTCCCTCCTCCCATCTCCCCCTTCCTGCTTTTTCCTTCCATGCTCTGAGGATGCAGTAGGGAACAAAACATTAAATAAAATGAGGTAAGGGGTGCCTGGGTGGCTCAGTCTTTAAGCATCTGCCTTTGGCTCAGGTCATGGTCCCAGGGTCCTGGGATCAAGCCCCACATCAGGATCCCTGCTCGTCAGGAAGCCTGCTTCTCCCTATCCACTCCCCCTGCTTGTGTTCCCTCTATCGCTGTCTCTCTCTCTGTCAAATAAATAAATAAAATCTTTAAAAATAAATAAATAAATAAATAAATAAATAAATAAATAAAATGAGGTAAAATCAATCATTGACCCTCAAGCTTGCACCCATCCTGGGCTGATGATCTTCAGGAGTCTCTTCTTCTCTTCTTATTCAACAGTATTATACAGAACACCATCTTGTCATGAGAAGACAACCTGAAGAATGGAGACCAGTCCCTTGCTCCAATATGTTAGCACTTAGGGGTTGAATTTATTCAGGAAATAGAAAAAAGAAAAAAAACCCACCCTGCCACACCTCTCTTCTACCATGTACTGTTTTTATTCTTCCTGGGTTCTGACAGACTGCAGAACGGAGCAAAGACATAGTGCAGACATTTGAGAAATGTCAGGCGAGCTTCCCTCAGACCCGGGTTAGGGAGGAGAAAGATGAGCAGCACTCTTAGGCAGCCATGTTGCCACACCACCAAGTTCAGACATCCTTGCAGACAGTGAAGACCAGGAGCCTACTGCTCTGCGCCTCTCCATGTAAAGCCCCATTCCGGTGGGATGTCCCCACGCAGTGGTATTCTGGAAGATCTGACTAGTGACCGGGCTCTCGTGCTGTTCTCCTGTGTGGCTCTGTGGTGTCCGCTTGTTTGAATTTGCTGCTCTTGTCAATCTTAATATTTGTTTTGAGTCACATATGCCGGCCTCTAATTTGCAACTTTACATGGATGATGGGGCCCTATTCAGAGCCCTGCTCCTTCCGCCTTTGTGCCCCTCACCTCTCTTCACGCAGTCATAAGGCTGAGCAGCATATAATCACATAACCCATACAAAGCTTAGATTTCTGGAAGGTTGCAGCTCTTTTCAAAAAGTAAGGGTTTCCATTTTTATCCTCATTCTTTTCTAAACAAAAAGACATTACCCCCCCTGTGGTTTCTGTATGAATGCAGTAACTTAGAAACAGTTAGTCTTGTAGGTGGGTAGTAATTTTGGTTTGTTTTCACCTGAGAGTCAGTTTTTGTTTACACAGCTTGTGTTTAACCGAGTGCAGGCGGAGGTTGATTGGCCATCATTGGCGCATGAGCGTGTTGTTATTTGAAGCCAATGAAATTGGTTTAATTTTAAACCCCTAAAGATTTAAAAAATTCACCCAATAATATAACTCAGTTTTCAGCCCATTTTCATGTTTCTTTTGCTACCTGTGTGCACAAAACTTACCTGAATTACTTGTGACAGTAAAGCCTATGAAAACAGAAATACTGAAGAAAACAGATGTTCTTGCTGAAATTATGTTAATTCTATTGAAGTTGTGTTCACTTGTTAGATTCATGATTATAAACATTGTTTTAAAAACAGTCTTGGTGGTGAGGTGAATGCAAGCCCTTAAAAGAGTAAATAGAAATGTATATAAATATTTCACTGAAATAAAATAATATAATGCGTAGGGAGCCTTTCACTTCCTATACCTGATATTATTTTTGAAAGAAATGAGAAAGTACAAATGTTTTTTTAACTCTGCAAGATTGAAAGGAAAATAACAAGATACATTGATATTATCTAGAACACTGGCTCATATTGATTAACAGGAGACTTCATTAAAATGCAGATTCTTCAGAAATTCTATTATGTAGGGTTGGGGATGGATCTCAGGAATCTAATTTTTGAGTAAGTACCTTAGATGATGCTATTGTAGAAAGTCTGCAGGCAACAATAGAAATAATTGTTTTGTAAAAATATAATTAATTGTGCATTTTGTATTGATGATGTTTTACATTTCTATGTTTTACCTTTCTATGCCTTGAAAAAATGGTCTTTAAAATGACCATTGCTGCCCCCTTTGGATTAGAACTTTCATAGAACTAATGTAATGGGCAAGTCGACCAGCCCCTGGTGATATTGCCAAATAGAATTACATCTGGAAAATAGATAAATACTCCTTCAGCTCATGACTGACCTCAGGAAGCAGAGAAATGGACAGACTGGTGAGGTGTTGACTGTGGAACGTTATACCAGTTCTCATCTGGTCTCGCCTCCTGTTTGTCAGTGGAGTTAATCTAAATAACCACCATCGTCTAAAGTACATTTGGTAAAATTTACATGCATTTTTCTCTTTAAATGTCTATTTTCCACACTTTGGTTTGATTGTATCTCATGTGCATTCAGAGAATGGATGTTCCTTAATGTCATTGCTTTTATTTTTGGAGGCTCAAGTCATTGTGATGATATTTGCTAGGTAATACAAGTATGAATACACATGACTAGACTTGCCAGACATGGGCATTTTAAGCGTCCAGTCAGAAAAAGAAGAGAGAGCTGGAGAGGAGCAGCTTCACACACACTCACCCCAGGAAGTGATTTTTCTACACTCATGTACTGGGTTTATCCTGCATCCACTGGGGGTTGAGACTGTGTGATGCACAAGTTAAAGCCCTTGTTGAGGATATTCTGTATGTGAATATGTACATACACACTTACACGTAATGACGTGCTTTTAAGGTGATAATTCCGTAAGAATTCTGTAAGATTCTGTAAGATTGGTTTTGTTCCGAAGTCTTGGGCTCACATTTTTTAGGTTGTGTGAATCCAGTTCATATGCAGTAATGCTAGTGAGACTTAGGTATGGGAGAGAAAATAATGTATCTATTCAGATAAATGTTGTGCATAAAAAAATTAAAAAAAACAATTTATGGTCAGTGGGTTCTCTAAGATGATTATGGCAAGGATAAATGATGTTATAGACATTAAGATTGGTAGCTCTATAAAATTACTAATTTCTTCTTTTTCTTTCTTTCAATCAAAACTGTCTCTTTGATCAGATTTCTTATAGAAAAGATGTGCAGGACACCCACATGTACAGTGCGGATCTCAACAGACCAGACATCAAGATGGCAACACAGATCTCCAAGATCATAAGCAATGTAATCTCTCTTTCTTATCTTGAGCAGAAATGATTTCTTATTTTTTCAGGAGATAACACATGACTTTGGTGGTTGAATGGTTAATTTAATTAGTGAAATTAATCAATCTGAATTAATGACATCTCAAGTTTTTTATCTGAAATATCCATTTGACTATGTAAATTTTTCGGGTATATGCAGAAACTGCCCAAATTCACCTTGACTATGGCTAATGCTGTCATAATTTAAGAGAAGTAAGTGCTCTTCGGGCGTAAGGTAACGTTCGAATGCCTCAGCCTGAAAGTCAACTTTGTTAGTCATCTGGTCTCTTACCTTTCCCTGTCCCAAAGAACTTCGCTTGGCCTTGTTTCTATTGTGTTACTGTTAATTGTGCAGATTCTTTTTTGCCACCATTTACCCTTGTACATTTTCTACACATTTTGGCTCTTTTCTTACCATATCTTCTCCAAGATATCCTTACTGGTTAATACCATTTTACTTAAACATAACTTGCACCCTGGTTAAAAATGATGGCTTCACACAGACCAAATGTTTGAATAACAGAGACTATACTCACTTAAAAATTAATAACTATTTACAAGATTTAACTTGATGCTAACCAAACGGAGTTAAATCAGTTCCTAAGATGAAAGGAGCCATACAAGCTATCTGTCTGCAGAAGGCAGGATCTCAATTATCCAGTAATTTTTCCTAGTTTTTTTTCGGGGTTTATACATAAGCACCATGATGATGACAGGATACATAGACGCAAATTTAATAATTAATTTACTACAAAAAAAGTTGAATTTAATTAACCACACTAGGTCAATTTCTGTTCTACCAGTCAGCATTTTTGTGTTCGGTGTATTGTAAGGAATGTTTTTTTATGGATGGAGGGTCTATTATATTTTATTTCAGCTAATATTAATATAATTTTTCATTGGAAAGTAGAAATATTTAACATTCTCTTATTTATTCATTTTAGGCAGAATACAAGAAAGGGCAAGGAGTAATGAATAAAGAGCCTGCTGTAATTGGAAGACCAGATTTCGAACATGCTGTGGAAGCTTCTAAACTTTCTAGTCAAGTAAGACTCTAGTGATGATTCCACAATGATTTTATTCAGAGATTTTGTTTCTAGTGGCACAGGAAACTATTTCATTTTAGATAATATCTTTAATTGCAAGAATATGCAAAGATAATGTTTCTGAAACCATTTCAGATAGGATTGCAATAATTACAAATTTCAGTAAAAGATAGAATGAGTCCAATTTTAAGTGCAAAACAAAGTTTTCTTTTCTCCCGGCTCAAAGTCTAACATTTTTCAATGAGGTTAGCCATGTTGTCACATTTCCTAGGATTTCTAGAATTCTGCAATCGTGGTGTCAATTAAATTAGATTAGGTCAATAATTAGATTGCTGTCTATCTATACACACATACACACATATAACTAGGTAATAAAATATCGATTTTCATATGCTCTAATTTAATCACAAAATAAGAAAGAGGTGATGCAAATAAAGAAAACTTTGAAATCTTATGGAAGAATATCAAACAAGATCTGAAAAAGTATAAAGACACGTCATGTTTTTGGCTGAATGTCTTGGTAGATAAAAATTACGATTCTCCCCAAATTAATATACAAATGTCATGCAATTTCAATTACAAGCCAATAGATTTTTTCAAGTATATGGGTAAATGATCTTAGAGTTTGAATGGAAAGGAAATGCCTGAGAAGAGCCTTTAGAAGTATGAAAATGAAGACCAGTGAAGGAGAACTTAAGTTGTGGGTTACCATAACATAATATAAAACCACTGAAATTAAATCAATATGGGATTAGTACAGTAAGAGATAAAATAATCAGTAGGATAGAATAGGAAATCCTGAAATAGATTCCAATATGTATAAGAATTTAATATATGATGAAAGTGTTGGTTCAAGTCAGTGGGAAAAAAGTTATATTAGTTCATAAATGGTGCTGACATAACTGTCCATCCATCAGAGTAAAAATAAAATTGGACCTGAATCTTAACTTATATACAAAATGAATTCCAGATGGATTAGAGATGTGAATATAAACAATAAAATAATTTTAAAATCTTAAAAGAAAACCCAGGAGAATATATATACCACATAAGGATGACAGAGTTCGTCTTAAAAAGACCGGAGATCCAGAAGCTATAAAAGGATAGTTAGGCATACCTAACAATAGAATTAAAACTCTTTTAATGGAAAATGATAATATTTGCCAAGTTAAAAATAATAGTATCAAAAGCAACTTTTATATAGTTATGGTGTTTTCACTTTTGAAAATATGCATTCCTCAAGTTGCAAAAGTTGGATGACATTTCAAAATGGAGAGGTGTAAATGAAGAAAACTATAAAATCGGACTGAAGAACATGAAATGACATCTGAACCAATGAGAAGACCAACTGTGCTCTAGCTCAGGAGTCTCAGTACTCAGTATCATAGAAATCTTAAATCTTCCAAAATTAATTTTAAAAATTTCACGCAAGGGGCACCTGGCTGGCTCAGTTGGTAGACCATGCAACTTTTGATCTAGGGGTTGTGAATTTGAGCCCCACGTTGGGGGTAGAGGTTATTAAAAAAAAATAAATAAAATTTGAAAATTTTTTTCTAAAAAAAAAAATCCCATGCAATTCCAGCTAGAATCCAAACAGACTTTTTAAGCATTTTGAATCAAATTAAATATTTGAATAAATTAAGTAAATTGGATTGTCTATGGAGAAGGAAGTGTCTGAGGAAAGCTTTTTAAAATGTAGAAAGAAGAGCAGTGGTCTTCAAATATTTGGAAAAGCATTTGTAATGCAAATGATGAGAACATTTTTATATCTAGAGTATAAAAAATTCTTTAATAGTGAAAAGAAAATCTAAAAGCCCTATAGAAAAATGAGTAGAGGAGATGAATGAACAGTTATAGAAGAGCAACATAATAACAAAAATAGTCAATAAACATTTTAAATGATGCTCAAATTTATTAGTAGAAAGAGAAATGCCAGTAAAGCATTTATCTGTCGCATCCTGTGAGTGTGGAGAAGGACATCAGTGAGGGGTGTGTAGTTGGAAGGGTTTGGTGTAACAGGTAGATTTGAGCTAAGATGGACTGAAAGGTCTGCTCAGGGGAAGTCCCCAAATAAAGGTTGGGAATGTGCAGGACAGAGAAAAGGGGTCTGACAGACAGGAGAGGCTCCCAGCAAGGAGAGGGGAATCATAAATACACATGGAAATCTGGGAGGAGTTGAGATGCTGTGATGATGGTAAATGGGTCAGTGTTGTATTCATTTGGACTGCAGGCCATACTTATGGAGCAGAATAGGAATAATATGTTCTATACAAGAAAAGGTACAGAAGAAAAGGGATTTCAAATGTAATAATTGGGAGCGTTGTAGAGTTGAATTCAGAAAAGGAGTCACCGCTACTACTTCTCACCATTTTAACGATAGTCTCTCCAGTACCCTCCACTCAAGTACCCTCCTTCAGATAGGAAATGAATTGTCACAGAAAATTTTGAACAGAGAAGCATTGTGAAGAAGATACTATTTAAGGAACGTTAGCATGCCAGCACTGTGCAGGAGATAAGACCTCATGAGAGGAGAGCGTCCCGGAGGCCAGTTGGGATGCTACCATCTTGGTCCACACATGGGGTGCTCAGAACTTGGGACAACTTGCTGGTCATGAGTTGAAAATGAGCAAAGAGGGTAAATGAGAGACACCTGAATGTCAGTGCGCGTCATATTCACCGTTTTATGATGTATAAGGCACTCTCACTTACAAAACAACTTCATGACTCAGGAGGCTGTGGATGCGCTAAGAGCCTGGGGACACATTCTCGTCCAGGGCCCGAGATGGGCAGGGCCTGAAGAGGCAGAGCATAGTAGGCACATTCGGCAACTCTTCTTCGGCTTTTTCTGTGGACAAAGACTTCCCATCGACTGTATAGGAGAAGCAGGAGATTCTAGAAAAACAGTACGGTTTGGTTGAGAGGTTAGGAAAATGGGCTCCAGAGCAGGACTGCCTGAGCTAAACTCCAGGTTCTGCCTCTTGCTGGTTCAGTGACCCTAGACACAGCTTCCTCATCTGTAAAATGGGAATGACTACAATACCTACTTCTTAGGCTTGTTGTCAGGGTTAAAATGCTGCCTGGCTAATAGAAACGCTATGTAACTTCACAAGAATAATTTAACTGCCGATATTCAGAATAGCTTTCCACTCTGCACTTTTACAGGAATTTGTGCACAGATTGAAGCAGGAATAGCCACACTGGCCTTTAGATTCCAGTCTGAAATTCATTCATTCATGATCTTATTCGAGAATTCTTAGCAGTTTGAGCTTTAATTTTGATATTTCAAATTCAGTCACCAGAAATCCTACCATTTGCTCCTATCTCGGTTTTTAGGCAGGTTTTTTTTTTTTTAAAGATTTTATTTATTTATTTGAGAGAGAGAGAATGAGAGAGAGAGCATGAGAAGGGGGAGGGTCAGAGGGAGAAGCAGACTCCCCGCCGAACAGGGAGTCCGATGCAGGACTTGATCCCGGGACTCCAGGATCATGACCTGAGCCGAAGGCAGTGGCTTAACCGACTGAGCAACCCAGGCAGGTTTTAAAAAAAAATCCAAATCCTTTAGCAACTGAACGATCAGATACCTAAGCAGGTTGCAATTTGCAAGTTACATTATATCTATCATCTTTATTTTCTCCATGACATTCTTGCTGCTCTCATAGTGTAAAAACTCATCAGAAGAAAGGAAAAGTGGGCAGGTGAATATATAGGACTTCTGGAATGAACTTGATATGTTCCATTTGTATTTTCAGGTGTATGAACTAGAGACAAGTGCAGAAAGTTTGCTTTATTATTTTCATTGGCAACTCTGAAGATCACCTACATATTCTCTTGCTCCTAACCTAATGTCAGATTGTGAATACAGGAGCACTCAAAGGCAAAGAAATATCAAGAAGGAAAGTGATTTAGGAATGGCAAGAAGCAGGGGACCTGGGGGCAGGGGCAGGAGGGAGAGAGCAGATGGTACCAGGATCACCGTGTCAGGGAAGGCAGGGATTGAGGAGACGGTGCTCGAGGTTTGTGGTGGTAAGAGCTGCCTGATGAAGAGCCGAGAACAAGAAAGCAAGGGGCAGAATTCTCCCAATTTACCAGTAAATTATGCTTTGTGGGATTGAACCCAGAAAATGTAGTGGAAACACAAAACCCTTCCTGCTAACTTGTACAATAGCTTTGCCCCCCAAGTTGTAAAGTTTCCTTGTTTAAACTTAGAAGGCACATAAAATTATGGTCAAGTAGTTAAGAGAAAAATCAGTAAAAAAATTAAAGTGAAATCTCGTCTTTCAAGATAATGAGATTGGTGTATTTACAAGTATCTTAAATGTTAGTGGAGTAACTGTTGAAGCCATCGTCTTAAAAAATTCTTCTAAGAGCAGTTAATTTTTAATATATTCATATATCATCTTAATTTATTACTGGAAATTTATCTACGGGATGAATGGAATTCTTTTAGTTTTATAACATCAAGGAAACTTTTGTATTTATAATAACTAGTGTTTGTTCTAAAATTGCATGTGACATATTGATAAGAATGGGTTTGAAACATAAAAAGTACATTTTAGATTGCCATTAAAATTTAATTATAAATATTGTCCTCAAATTGAATGGGGATGTTAATTGGTTTGGAGAATCTCCCATTTCCCTTCCTGGCAAGCCCTCTCCCAGCCAATCTCTTTACACCCAAGTATTGGCTTCAAGGTCTTGTACTTGAGTTGCCAATTTAAATTGTATTTCTCTCTCTCCTTTATTCTCAGTTCTTTTTCCTTATTGTTCTTAACACAATTTATACTAGTCATATATTTATATATATGTGTGTGTGTTTTTTTTTAAAGATTTTATTTATTCATTTGAGAGAGAGAGAGCACTAATGGGGGAGAGAGGCAATGGGAGAGGGAGAAGCAGACTCCCCGCTGAGCAGGGAGCCTTATGTGGGGCTTGATCCCAGGACCCCGGGATCATGACCTGAGCCGAAGGCAGACACTTAACTGACTGAACTACCCAGGTGC